GTTTAGACAGTGTGGGTGCGGGCGGCACTCAGGCTCTATTCGGGCAAGTGATGAACCTTCAGATTCAACTTTTCTGTATATCCAGAGGTCCCCAAGGGCCCACATTTTGAGATATCCTCATTTCAAGCTTCCATGCTGTGCAAGAGCACTGCGTCCATCAACGCTTTGGATTCAAGTGCTCGACTCAGCCCCCTACCTTAAAGCCTTACAATCCGATCCCTCAGGTGTAGGGTTTAGCTCAAACCCAAAATGCCTTTAGGCTAGAAGCGCTATCACATTTCTTCGAATTCCCATTCCGTAGGGCCCCTCAAACTTTGCAGGCCTTTCGCCAGCTCCTGGGGACATCCGACCCAGAGTGTGAGGAGGCAGAACGCCTCCTCCGCACGGTTGTGGCAACAGAAGAGCGCAAAAGAAGAGATGCGCAAGATACCGGGGGCTCTTGGGAGTGTAGGGAGTCAGTGACTCCGGTTTAGGGCAGAGGTTTTCGGGTTTTTGGGGCTTGGGTGATGGCAGCCTAGGCAATGATTGAGGCAGACCCTGCGGTGGAATCATGTTTGGTGATGTTTGGTGTGCGATACTATAAACAGGGGGAACATGACCTTGAAAAGATGGCTAGTGCAGGGTCCAGGCAGGGTTTAGGTCAGGGGTTTCGGGTTTGTACCCTACGGTCGTGCCCTGGGCTTAAGGATCCTATTTCATGGGACCCCATTGGGCCATGTTGGGAAACCTTTCCGGGGTATGACGTAACCCTAAGTCAGAACTAATTAAAAGATGGGGAGGCTAGTCAGTCGCTGTGCAGAGCCCCTATGGTGTTGTTGCCGGCAAGGCCAGGTTGGTACTTATTAGTATTAGTATTACTATTAGCATGAGAAGAAGTAGTATCAGAAGTAGAGGGAAAAGCAATATGTTTAGTGTTATTAGCATCATTATAGAGTTGAAGCTAATTAGGACTGGCTATATTGAGGTATAGAACGGTGTATAGGCATAATGTAGAACCAAATGGAAATGAACGTGGAAAAGGAATGGAAGCTAGTATATTCATGAACCAGCTTAGTCACCTACGGCCCCTTTACAAAAATGCATGGGGTTAAGGGTTTAGATTATGATCTTTTGGTAATCCTATATACCCTGAAGTTCCCAAGCGTGCACTTTTTTTTTTACTTATGGTAGTTGGGGTACATGACCTACATCCGTCTAGTAAAGGAATTGTATGCGGGGGTCAGAAGTCCAGTTAGTTACTGTTTACTGTGAAGCTACAAGTAGAGAGGGTACTCACAGGAAGCATTATAGAGCTGGCTCCCATCCCTGGATGTACAGAAAGTGTACTGGTTCACCCAAACTGCCGAGGAATCCCAAAGTCACATCCTACAGGTTTACATCAGCAAGTATAGAAGATTTTGTTTTGGGGGCCATCCTACGTTTCCAGTGGATCGCAAAGCCACCCCAAGCAGAACCTGCCTACTGTAGAAGCCTGAATCAATGCTTATAAAGATCATTCCATATGAGTCCTTATGTAGTGTGATATGCCCCCCCAGAACACTCTCTCTGAATTATTTAGCCTCTAAATTAAGCGTGAAGTTCACAAAAAATGAGCCTCTTGAACATGTAGACGCCTGACTTACTGATGGCTACCAGGGAACGAAGCTGGGTTATGAGGGTTATTGCTGGGAGTGATTTAGGGGCCACTGTAGGATCCCTTGTTCCATCCATTCCTACTGCCGCCAGTAAGCTGTAGAGTTGGGAAGTTTTTTTGCTGTAATCCTGATGTATTCAAGATTTAGTGGTGTCTCACAACCCTCTTCCCAACTCCAAATCCCAAACTATTCAGGGCCATAAACTGACGCCAAGGTTTTCAGGTCCAGGCGTCCGGGGCGCAACCCTTCGACTGCGAAGGTTTTGAGGGCATGTCCCTCAAGGACCCAAGGGTTTCTTGAAATAGTCTCCCCATCATCTCCTGATAATCCTATAATGTTCGTGGGCTGATGGTGGCTGGGGAGAATTTGTATTCGAACAGGTGAAGGCTGAGAGATGGTTTGAGTCAGGCAAGGGGTACAAAGGGGATGGCACACCATCCCCCCCGCTGACATGGATCCTCCGAAAGAGCCCTGTAAGGACAGTTTTTTCAGCGGGCTTCCTGCGGTTCCTGCTACGTTTTTGGGAGGGTGGAGGTGAAGGGCGGTCATTACAGAGAGGAGCAGCCAGGGAATGCTCTTGCGGAATACGTGTTCAGATCCGGCTAGGTCTGCTTTAGGAAGAGATCTCGAATCCGGTCATTGGATGTGCGACCCTGCTGAGGCCCACCTCTTGGCATTACTAGGTTGATTGGCGTTCTCAGCAACGTCATCAGTTTACCTAACGTTGCGACAGAAACGAGTACAAGGCTGTCTCTTGTGTTCAAGTCTTGACCCTGTTTCCCTTGACGGTACAATTCATTATGCTGAGTGTTGCCTCACCTGAACCATGAACCCTGAACTTTGAACTCCAAACATTAGCCGCTCTTTCAGACTTGAATGAAGTCAATTCTTCTGGCAGTTCCCCGGTTTCCCGCAATTTTGCTGCATCTGCAGGTCTTTGACCGGGGCATTAAAGGGACCCTGCTTTTGAGAAAGATGCGCAACAACCCTAAACTCGAAAGCCTAATCCTTGAACTGAAGCCATATCTGGCTGCAAAAGGTGGCTCAAGGGAAGGACTTAGAAGGGTTTCAGAACCTGCGTGGTTGAAGTGCGCTACCCAGAGCTTGGAAGTGTTCACGAGCATGCCAGTTTCATCCGTGCATTTTGTTGGGCTATGAGCCTCATGAGGCTCGCTCCCGATGCCCAACCGTGACGGTTTTTACCCTCAAAGGGTTTTCCTCTAGTGCCAAAGCGAACAGCTTGAGGCTTCCAAACCCCTTGGCTCGACGCCCGGCCCTACAAGCAGCTTCATCTTCCTTCAGAGTGTTATCATGTTATCTGTTCAGTTTTTATCATCAGCACAATCATCACTAGCACAATCATCACTGGCATCATGAGCATCATCACGGTTATCGTCTGGGGAAAACTGAAGTCAGAATCTGGACAAGTCTTCCAGTCTCTCATAGTCATGTCATGACTATAGCTAACACTTGTGTCTCGCAATCTGCCTACCTACGGGATGATCATCACCAGCATCTGGTATCTTGTCCTCGTTCTGTAACCCAAAACCCCCTCCTGATTAAATAGGGAGCTACAACAAGTCAGGTACACTATGTCCTCCGCCGTAGGAGATGAGGCCGCTTTGCGGCGTAGAAAGGCGCAGCGAGGGAGGGTTTTGGGGCTAGAACTCCCGCATTGGCCTTTGGGTTTAGGGTAGCGGGTTCAGACTTTAAGAGTCGGGGTTTGGGTAAGGGTTCAGGGTTCAGGGATTAGGATTTGAATGCGTTCTGCAGAAGGTTTAAAGTTTAGGGTTGACCGTGAGGGTTGAGGGTTCGGGATGTTGGAATGCTGATGGGTTGAAACCCCTAGATCTAAGTTGGGGCATCTTGATTTTGGTGTGTCTTCAAGCTAGCTGAGGTGTTGACACGTGACCCGTACGTCGCGGGTGATAATCGTGGTAACGCCAGCCAAGGCATTATGCGTGGGACCCCATAACACTCACATGAACGTCATGGGGTCCTTGTTTTGTGAGGTTGGGAAACGCAAAATTCCCTTGTAATGCAAGGAGGTCAACCAGATCATGAAGTGCCATCATTTTTGCTGAATTTTGAACGAACACTGGGCGTCCGATCTAGAAATGCACAAAGTGCTTCAACAAGACTCCTATCCCCAGAATAGCAAAAAACTCACGCCCACTCATAATGATTAACATGAAGGCGAAGCTTCCGCCCCGCTGTACTTTTTTTGATGCTATGCAAAGGCACCTCCATAGGCACCGCCACAGGAACAAGTCCTGCTGCAATAGAGGTCCTTCACATAAGAACCCTCGAAAGCGGAGTTATACTTGTGAGAAACCCCGCAACCCTAAACCCTAAGCCAAGCCCCTTGCTGAACCTGGCTCCCCCATCGACCTGGCAGAGTAGCAGGTGGAGAAAGATTCCGAGCAGAAGAAGGAAGCAGAGGCCTGGGCAAAGGGAAGGGCGAAAAATGTTGCAAAGTCAAACCATGAGTCAAACCTGTAGTGAGCCCCAAGAGTCTTGATTGTGGCCCGTTGGGCCACAGTGGCAGCCTCCTTAACCCTGGGCACCTGGCCTTTTGCTCGGCTTGAGCCATCGCATCGATGGCGGCTTCTCGTCTTGTGCGTGTCTCCTTGCGCAGGGCTTCGGGAAGGGGACCTTTATGGCTTTACACCGGTCCAAACTTCTATTCCCGAAGCACTAAAAAGAAGGATTCAGATCTCCGCTCACGTTCAAGAGCCTTTTTGTGGAGGGCATGGCCCTCTTCGACAACAGCCCACAAACCAGTACGAATAACATGACGTAAGTAATCACCAGGATGGCTCTTAGTGAGTGGATCCGATATCATGGATCGGGTATCGATCCAGCGAATCTTTCCACAGGTGTCTGCCAGATCACTTTTGATGATCGACAGGTCAATGGCCGTTCGCTTGTCACTTGCATACGCCACTGTACTGGCGCACTTGCTCAAAGCGTCGTACAAACTTTTGGAGTCTACAGCAGCGAAGAAGGGAAGCTTGCTGGTTTCTCGCCTCCAATCTGCTGCGCTGAGCATGCCATGAAAGGCTTCAAGAAAAAGCAAACGGTTCCAGTGTACTGCACCGAGTCCTGACTGTAGGGCTTGGCCCTCTGCGGCCAGGGTGTCTACAGTCTTGCGCTTCAGCCTGTAACTACGCCACGAAGCAACCGTGGTCATGGAAGGCTCTTCAGAATGGGCAAGCTTAGCATCATGATAAATCACAATCTGGCCTGCCTGACTGCACAAATTCTGAAGCTGTACAAGACTTCCGTGAACCTTGGAAGCGGGAACACCTTCTTGGCTGGAAGCAGCTTTAAGGAAAACAGTCCTACCAAACCAGACTTCTTCCCTTAGAACCCTAATGCCCTTTTGGTCACACCACTGGTCCTTGACCGTCTCGGTGTGCGAATCTTGCCGTGGTCATTGTAGATCTCGGTGCGACGTTCTGGTAGCAGAAGATGAAGATCTGGTCCTTGAGGTGAGGCTCCAGGATGGAAAGTGGTCCTTCGAGGAGAAACGTGGTGTCGAATCCACTCCGTTTCGGTTTCCTCCCAGTAATCGTCAGAACTGTCCTCGAGCCAGAGCTTGTCTTTGGAGTTGCCCCAGGAAGCGTCAGTGACCACTGAGACTCGAAGCTGGTCCCAAGGAATGGGCATCACTCGAACGCCAAGATCGGCATTCTTGATTGCCTCAGCCGCGATCTTATTACCCTCGATGAGGTCAGCAACCCGTGGTTCTGGAAAAGCTTGCTGCAGGAGTGCGACTCTGCCTGCCAGGTCACAGCGTGTCTCTTTCGACAGCCAAGAAAGAACACCAAGCTGACTACGAAGTTGTTCGATCTCTGCGGCGGTGCACTTTGAGTAGCGCTGTTGCTTGCGCTTGCGAGCGATCTGGTTGATGATCACTTTGTCCTTGACGTAGAACGCCTGGCGAATGCTGATTGAGCCATCGAGCTCCAACTTGATGTCTTTTCCAGTGAACCTGCCTTGGCCCTTTTGGTTCTTGCCCAGCTTGTACTCGGTGGCAATCTTCTCGATGATGGCCCAGTGGTCGTCGTCATCGCCGTGGATCATGTCGTCCGTGGCAAGGCCGATGATGCCCTTGAGCTGCTTGAACTCCTTGGCGGTCGTCTCCTTGAGATAGAAGACGCAGGGATCAAATTGACTGACCTGATAGCCGAAGTCCTGGGTCAGCCTCCGAGTTAGGTGCTGGAACCATGCGTATGGTCCATCCGTCAGGCCATAGCAAGTCTTAAGAAGTCGTAAGACTTGGTTGCGGTGAGCACCTGGAATTCCTTCAGGAGGCTGGCGGCAGTACAACTCTCTAGCAATCTTGTCTCCAGAATGGAAAGCTTGAGTAAAATCAAGAAAACCAGGAATCCAGGACATGCTTGCAAGAACTTGAGCTACGAAAACCACTGAGTCGCGTTGAACTTGAGGAGTCGTGCTCTCCACGTCTAAGGCTGAGGGATCTGAAAACCCTTGCATGACGTGGCGGCATTTGGCCTTTTTGGGGCCAAGACCATCATCTTCAAGGAGAATGTCTTCAGCACGTGCTCCATCCACCTCAAAAGGCTCGAGAGGCTTCTTGGTCAAGACGTAGCGAGAGTTCATGACCTTGTCGGACTTATGCTTGAGCACCTGATCCGAAGCTTGAGGCGACAGAAGCTCATAGGCGCCCGTCAGGAGGTTGTTGCGGATCTCCTTGCTAATGGCCCTTTGGAGTCTAGAAGCATCTGCACCTACAAAGTCGGAAGCACGAGCTTCCTTTCGGGCCCTCTGCTTCGCTAAGGCCTGCAGCTGAAGGTTGTAGACTTCCAAGAGCTCAAGTCTCGATCGTTTTTCGGGCGGAGCTGCTTCCGGCATCTCCGCTTCTCGCTTGCGGTCTGGAGCTAGCTCTCCTGCTTCAGGAGCCGGTTCAGTTCCAGACTGCGCAACTACAGACTCGGAAGAGGCTGCAGGTAGTCCGGGAGGTTCTTCTGGCGTGGCAGAAGAGCATCTGAAGGACGATCGTCAGAAAGATCAGGCGGTGGTTCAAGCGGCCTGGCATAGTTAGTCATCTTGCGCCGAACTCGCCGACCAGGAGGATCGCCAGGAGGATCAGGTTCGAGACCTTCGTTGTCGGAGGGCTCGTAGTCCTTCATCTCGTCATCATCGATGGGGTCGTCGTCCTGAGAGCAGTCGACAAAGTCACGTCTAGGAATCTTCTCGAAGGCTTCCCGAGCTTGAGTGATGCCATCCAACCATCCAGAGATGGAGAGCGACTCTTCTTCGGATGCCATGCGAACTCGTTCGGGAGCTGCCTTGATGATGGTGTTGCCGTGAGCAATCCAAACCGTGCTGGGCAAGTTCGTGAGAAGAACTCGTCCAGGTCCTGTCCAGTAGGATTGTCTGGGATTCTTGGTCGTCCCAGCACCCCTACGCCAGTAGTAGACAAGCTGGCCCACCTCGAAGTTCTGGAACTTCCTTCTTCCAGCCAAAGCCGCGGCTCGAAGAGCTTGGTCGCAGTCTGCTTCGTGAAAAGCACAAGCTGCTGCCTTGCGCATTCGCATCGCCCGACTGGCGTCAAGGTCGCCAATCCTTTGGAGATCAGCAGCGGCAATGTCGTTCTCACCGCCACTGAGAAGTCCACCTGGTAATCGGGGTGTATAGCCCATTACTCTCTGAATTGGGGAATAACCTGCCCGAAGAAGGAGTCTGTTGCGAGTCATGCAAGTGATATCGACCAATTCTTTCCACTCAGCAAGGGTGCTACATGGATAGGTCGCCATTGCCTTGTACAACAAGTCTTTGAGGATGCCGCCGGCTCGCTCTGTCAAGCCTCGTTGTGTGGGCGCCTCAAGAGGTCCCGGCACTACTTCACTACCATCCCTCTCGGCTTGTGCAGTGAGCTGCGCTCGAAATTCAGTACCCAAATCATTGAGTATCTTACGGGGGGGTCCAAAAAACTTCGTCCACTGTCGATAGGCTTCGCGGACCGCCTCGGAAGTCTCCTGGCGAAGAGGAATGACAAGTTGAAAACGCGAGCCCCAATCTACGGTACTCAATGCAGGCACCGCATTATTCTGATGGTCCCTGAGGTGGACCGTACCCAGTCCAATCATGTCATTCACCGCAGTGGTTTCCCGTGGCGGGGCTCCTCGTCTTGCCGGATCCGGAAGCTTGTAGGTCTGGCACACAGAACATGGCAGGCTTTTTGCAATGTCTATCGCAGCTTGTGGAGCCTTGCCATGTCGCAAAATTCTTACGAACCTCTCCGTCTCCGGATGACCCAGTCCCTCATGAGCTCTGCGGACCAGTCGCTCTAGATTGACCTTTTGAAGTCCAGGAAAATGCCGCATTCTTCGAAATTGGTGATCTCCCAAATTTCTGGAACACAGAGCTACCGCTAGGTCACTAGCTTCAACTTGGGGACTAGGTTGATGCAACTCTTTCCAGCGGACCTCGTCCTCCAGAAGTCGCCAAGTTGCACCTCGGAGAGACCAACTGCTACGCCAATAAAATTCCCCTGCCGCATGATCATCAGGAGGAAGCGGAATGCAATTGCAATGCTTCTTCACAACCACTGCACGAAAATCCGAAAGATCATGAACACCCTCCTGTTCTACATGTTCGGGATCCACACCTGCAGAAAAAGGATCAACTTCAGGGAGTGGATCCGGATCATCATGCTGATGCCAAACCTCGCTTGGAACGTCAACGTCCAAGGTGCTTTGCTGACACAAATTGTGATGAATCTCTGCAAGCTCACTCTCGGAAAAATATGCATGGTAATGATCTGCATCAATCTTGACAATGTCGGAACTAGAAACCACATCAAGCGTGTGCACATCCACTTGCATGCTACGGCTATACTCAGACAAGATGGCATCCACGAGCTTAAGCGGATAGTGTTGGGCCTGCTGCGATTTGAGCTTGCCGTCCAACGTGCCAAGGATCCAGGAGTGCTCGTGCTCACCTGGACAAGTCTGTTGGAGCTTGAGGGCGAGACTCAAACTATTGGTCATGAGTCCAGTGGCTTTCCTCAAAGGTTGCTGCCGAGCATCTTTTAGACCATACATGCACTGATCACTCCGAACCCGATGGATACCTGGCTGCCGCAGTAGTCGCCGCGCACAATCTTCTCGCCATGAATGGGCAGCCCAAGGGTGCTCAAACAAAAAGACGCTACCCATGTTGTAACACATCTGACAAATGGACATGGCAAAGTTCAACAGCTTCTTGCCTTCCTTGGTTTTCTTAAGGTAACGCTTCATGGCTGACATGTTCTGCTCCCGCATGTGCTTGCTGAGGTTGTTCAACTGCGAAAATGGACCACAAGGAGGAGAGACTACACAAAGTCCAGGACGATGATGCTTGATGTAACTGATCACGGCTTCTTGTGCCTCTGGTTGAAGTAGATCTTGTCCTAGAACAATGTCAAATGCCTTGCCCCCGTTTAGTCCATGTCGATGAGCCCTGGGAACAAAACGGTTTGGACTGAAAACTTCGGCCACCGTACGAAGCTCCTTTGTGCTCATGCCGAAAATCTCCTGATACAGAGCTAACTTCTGCTTGCATGGTTGATGCTGAAGATCATCTAGCACACGACTTTTCAAGATGGGCAAGTACTGCTCGGATGCGGGGCCTAGGCCTCGAGAAAGCTCTGACCACATTTGCTCACTCCGCTTCAGGCGTGCAACTATACGGCGTGCCTTCGAGGGAGGAAGGTGACCTAGCTTTTCTGCTTCAAGCTCTACTTGGACTTGTGCTTGCGGAACTCCTGGAATTGCTTGAACTCCAGCCATTCTTGATAACTCTGATCTTCCGGAGGGCTGTCCTTCGGCTTCTCGCTGGAGCTTGCCTGTGAACGGATTGGTCGGGATGGCTTCACGGGCTCCTCTGGAACCGCTAAGCGCTCCTGACGATCCAGGACAAGACCGCGTTGCTTGCACTTCACTTGCGCCATGTGCCCGTTCGAGCCCTGGCGGGTGGTCTGTGGATGCTGACAATGAAGCTGCTCCATAGTGATCGGCTCCTGCTTTCCAGGCGTGGCTGGTGAACTCTTGTCCGTTCCCCAAAACGGCTGAACTGGAGTCCACTGAAAGTAGTTGCGTCGGCGCGTGACCGACTTGTGTACTCCGGGCAGCTGAAGAACGTTCTCTGATAGTTCGGTCCGGCCTTGAGGGTCCTCAGCACCACCGTCCGCTCGGAACGGTAGCATAGAGGACTGGCTGCAGGAGGATCCGGAGGCGGTGCATCCACCACCTTGAAGGACCCCAAGCTTGTCGTCGACCTTGGTGTCATCGATGGTTGGCTCACCTCCTCGATGCGGCTGCGACGGATCTCGGTTCGAGAGACCACAGGCGGATTGAACACCAAGTTGAGGCTCTCGGACTCGGTCTGGACCCCCAGCTGCTTCAGGAAGAGGTGGTCGAAGAGGTGCGCAAGCCACATTAGCGAACGCAGAACCATCCTTCGTCAAGCTGACTCCATTTTGGTTGCCATGGTCCGGCTGCGCTTCATGAGGATTAAGTGATGGAGGGAATCCCGAACACGGATCACAGGTAGCACTCTCTGACTTGGTCTGATCAAAACCAGCCGGAGACTGGCTAACATTCATGATCTCAGAGGCTGACTTGTCTTTGAGCTCCTGGAGGGCCTGAGTTAACTTGTCTACCATGTTGTCATCGAACTCGTGAAGCGGAATCCTCAATGCACCTGTGGGACCAATATGTAGTGGAACCTTCTTCTGGAAACGCTTGAGGTATAAACTGAGGCCCTTCTCAGGATCCAATTCGAGAACCGACCTACATGAAAGCAGGAATGGCAGGCTCAGTAACAAAGGTGCATGGCGACCGAAGGAGTCCTCAAATACAGCAGGTCGGAGAATACAACCCCCAGTGCCCAAACTTGTCGGAATACAGGCTACCTTGTCCGTCTTCGACAACCCGCTCACCGAACGAAATTGATGAGCTTCTGGAACCATCGCTACTGGCATGGCTTTGGGCTGTTTGCTGAGCAAGCGATTAAGGGTTTCAGCACCAATCGCAGATCTTTGACATCCTGTGTCTATGGTGCCGCAACAATCATCATCAAGTTGACCCTGAACAAACCAGCATTCATGAACCTGAGCAAGCGGAGGCGCACTCATGTATGCTTCGGCGGTTGAAGGGTCACGGTTGCTGGAGCTACTTGAGGTGCCGGGGTCAAGGGGCTGCACTGTGGCCTGACTACGCTTGTACTCGAGATAATTCAAGAACAGGGCTTCCTGGTTCTCGAGAAGGTGGTTCTCCTTGATCTCGGTCTTGGAGGATTGCGTCGGGCATTCTCTCCACCGATGCCCGACCTGTTTGCAATGACCGCAACGAGTACGTCTTTTGAGGTTCTCCGCGGTGACGCGGTATGTGTCACCATTCTGGAAGCGGTGGCCGGCAAGACGTCCTGCCCCATAGCCTCTGGCCAGTTCTTTGGAGCGTTTGGCCTGGTTCACGGCTGTGAAAGTACGCTTGCCACCTCCTTTTCCATGAGAGCGGATCATCGCAGCCAAGACTTCCTTGACCTCGTCTTCATCGAACACTTGGTTGCTGTCCTCGCTGATCATGCCATCGTCGGAGTCCAGAGAGGTCATGGCGTTCAGCAGGATCTCTAAGTCGCCGTCGTCGTCCGGGTAGTCAGTGCCGTGCTCAATCTCCTCATCCTCGGCGAGAAGGAGCGGGCTGGCGCGCTTGTCGGTGGAAGACGCCGTAGTCGAGGAAGTCATTTTCGTCAGGTCCAGGTTTGTCTCGTGAACCCAAACCCATTCTTTCACCGATTTGGTGCCAAGCTTGCCCTGAGTGAAGTTCAGAAGGAGCTTGATTTCTTCAGAAGGTGAGTTTCAATGCCATCGTAAGGAGGAATCCAAGAAAATCGGGCGGCAACACGATCTGATGCTCATCCAACTTGCGGACAGAATTGTCCCACTTCGTGAAAAAGGACTGATAATCTTCATTCTTGGCCCGACGCAGACCATAGGTGATCTTCACCAGAGAAGCCAACATGTCTTCACGATCATCTTCACCAAACAACTCCTTGGTATCCATCAACTTCAGGAGCTTTTCGCCGTTGTGCTCGTCCTTGAGCCAAGCATCATCTCGAGCAAGGTACTTCATGGAGTCGAAAGGGATGCCGCTGAGGTTCTTCAGCAGAAGTGGGCCTCGAGCTCGAGGTTTGGTCTTGGTCGTGACCATCCACAACTTGGCGCGGATCAAGTAGTCCTTAAAACTAGTGTTGCCATCCCACGATGGCGGCGGACCAGCATTGGTCCGGTCGGAGACGCCATCCTCATCTTCAGAGGCATCTCTTGGAAGCCTGCCACGTCGTGACTGGCTCTGTCTCAAAAATCGAAGAAAGCCCTCGTATTCATCTCGCGAGCCCGTTCTAGACCCTTGGGGAGAGAAACCAGGAGGACGCTCTTCTTCATCAGATTCCGGAACAGGAACTTCTTCATGTACATTAGAAGCCGCAGGCGAAGCCGTCGCCATTAAGGAGCAAGCACAAGAACGCTACGGGCTACCCCTACCCTAGGAGCGTACGACGTGCTCCGCTACCACTGTGGCCCGTTGGGCCACAGTGGCAGCCTCCTTAACCCTGGGCACCTGGCCTTTTGCTCGGCTTGAGCCATCGCATCGATGGCGGCTTCTCGTCTTGTGCGCGTCTCCTTGCGCAGGGCTTCGGGAAGGGGACCTTTATGGCTTCACATGATAGAACATGCCCTTAGGTGAATGTTGTCAAAGTTCTGTCCTCCCGTTTTGGCTTCTGTTCTACAGTTTCTAGGGTAGACCCCAAAAGAGGTAGAACATCCACGGGTCAAATAACAAGCCCGAAGCCTCCCTGCAGAAGTTGGCGCAGCACGCTATCCCGACCATCAGCAAGTCCATGCAGTCGTTCTACTGCTCTTGCCCACCACCTAATTAAAGGTAGAGGGAGTATGGTGGCAGGTTTTGCCATGAGGGCCAGGGGAGTACTGCTAGAGATGCAGGACGATGGTGAAGAGGTGGACGTTCTTGACCAGGAGTATGTGCGGACGCCAAGTTTGTTTGCGGACGCCAAGTTTGTTTGCGGCGTAAGGCTCAAGTTTACTTGAGGTTCCGCCAGCATCTAGCAAACGATATGCCATTTCTTTTGGGAGTTGTTCAACATTGCCCTTATTTACTCCCCAAAGGAGACCTCCATAACATCCTTATATTCGCCATGTACCGCACGGGTTTGATCAAACGCGCGTTTCGGGCAGTTTCGGGATTAAGTCAAGCATCTGCCCTGCCCAGCACTGCTAGCAGATGCAAAATTGGAGGTCCCAATTGGGCGGTTTCCAAGGTTGAGGGTTTGGGGTTTAAAGGAAGGCTTGGGGGGTAAGAGATTTAGGTTGAGGGGTTAGGGTTAAGGGCTCAAGGTTTGGGTATGTCATTCAGGATTGGAATTCAGAGATTAGGTTTTTGGACGTAGGCATGTCCGTATACAGGTCGCTTTTAGGGAGTAGAAGGGGGACCTCAACCCCGTCCTGCTGACGAAAATAGCAGCATGACTCCCCCCATTTGCATGGTCTTCCGCTTGAGAGTTCTGATATATGCGGCTTGAGTTGGGGATCTTGCAAAGGGTGCGACTCAGAGCTGTTTAGGAAGAGTAGCAGGAGATTGACTGGGTTGCCGGTTACGGACGGTGCAGGGTATGTATAGAGAAATGCTGCCATTCCACGAAACCATGAAGCTCCACATCACCTTCATACCAAGGTCGAATACTTTCGGAAGAAGTACGGCGAGAACCCGCGATTCTTGGTTGCTGCGTGAGTCCTTTTGCCTACTGGCGTTTAGTATGGAATACAGGAACTCAAAAGAATATGGAACCGGTCAGATCGTTGAGGGGGTATGCTGGTCTCCAAATGGTGGGACCCTGATATAGCCTCCCATACACCATACTTGATATTGTTGAGGTATCCCAATAAAGGGAGCTCTAATCCATGGAACCTCTCATATGGTTCTGTAGTCTGGTAAGGTCACAAAGCATGCTTTAAGCAACAGTAAGAAAGTGGGATAAGGATCGGACATCCTCGGCATTGATGGATGTGCCCTTTTCATGCTGTGCCTTGGCTCTTGCCCGAAGTTGGGGTTTCCCCAAGACAGGGACGGGATCCGTTTCTACGTACCAAAGTTTTGCAATTCCATATTCTAGGGATCCTTAGAAGGGGACCACCCCTGAAGTGGGCTTGGGATTTGAAACCTTGAGATTGATGCCGACGTCTTTGTTCCAGGGCTCTGCACGCAAGCGAGCTAAAGGTAGGAGCCCAAATGATCAGAATATTTTTTTTTGGGCATGCTCTTTGATAGGTTTGCGAGCGTGATGATTAACGAGATAATCTGTCCAGGTTTTTCAGGCTCATACATTTTTAACGAATTTGGCCTGCAATGTTCATCCGTTCATTGGTAGTTCCATCAAGTGATATGTTGAGCACCCTCTTGGCCCCAAAGACTAGACATGTATCCCAAAGGTATGGGAGTTTCCCGAAATGAGAGCCCCAACATAGCAGCATTCAAAACCCGCATACTAGGTCGATGTTGTGGCTTTTGACTTACTGTTTCGGGTGAAGGGGCACCCTAAATGCTAGATCCCCCACCCTTCCGTGAAACATACGAAGGATGCAAGTTGCATCGCGAGTAGTGGAAGCTGTTGATCAAGTGACTGTTGCACTACTCGGGATCCCTCATGTATTGAAATTCCCGGGGTTTCTGGTGCTTTAGGTGGTACAGGGTTTCTTTCAGAAGCGAAGCTGTCCAGGATCTACATCGTGGTGCGCGCCTGAGCATCTGCCCAGCTGTAGCCGCGCAGCCAAGAAAGCTGCTAGGTGTGTTTGTGTTTTGAGCAAGCAGCTGGTGAACAACTCGTATCAGCAGAGTATTTGGATGTGGAGGGACGTGGGAGATTTGGCAGTTCCCAACACATCCCCAAACCGAGAAGAGCACCTTCAAGCGAGCGATCTTCAGGGCTGCCAGAGCATTGCCTTTCTCATTGTCTCTGTCTATGAGAGTCTATGAGCGGGTAGTGTGATGCCTTGACTGCTCGCGCGTCCCCGACACCCCCCAAACCCGGAACTGTGCCCCTGGTGTTCACAGGTGGCCGGCGTCATCTTTACCATCATCTTCCTGTCCATGTACGCAAGGCTCAAAGAATTCCGGTGCCACAAACCCAAAACTTCCAAGACCCTTATTGCGCGATATGTGACGAACTTCTGATAGCAACCTTAGTTAAGGAACTCACAGTACACTTGCTCTTCAACTAAATGATTTGGATGCTAAGCCCTACGCCCAAAACCTTGATCCTAATCCTTAAGCTCGGGCTCGGTGTCCACCAGGAAAGCGAAGCGAGCTTGTTACATGTCTGCTTGCGGGCTCCCTGGAGTTTTTTTTGCTGCAAGCTTTCCATGGGACCTTCCTGAAAGGGCATTGAACCAATTCTTGGATGACTTTCCCTAAGCCCTAAATCGTGTTGAGCCCTAAATCGTGTTGAGCAGGCACCGGGAAGCTTTCAACAACTTCCCCGGCATGCGCTGAGTGAGTGACAAGCACTCCGTGCAGGGAGAGCAATGGACAATTCTCTTGTGGAAAGGGCTTAGAGCTGTTGCGTTGATGAGGGGCTAGGCATAGCTAAGCTTCAGGGTGTAGTGCGTAATTAAATAGTAGTTTCCATTTTCTTTTCCATTATCCCAATATAATCCCTATATAACCCCTATATTCCTTAATATTTTTTGGGGGTAAATGTGGGTAAGTCGGGTTTCAGGATTTAGGGGGTTTGGGGTCGTACAGAGAGGAGAGCACCTGCAGCCTGACCCTGGGGAACGAGGGGATAGGTTTTGGAACCTCACCGTGGGGATAATACAAGAACTACTATAGGGAATAATTCTCTCGCTCTGGTAACCCCGCCACATCCTAAACTTCAACGAGTGTATTCGCTTCATGTAGTAGCCTGAAATTGCTAACGCTCTTCCCGTTACAACCTTTGTACAGCATGATGTACCTCGGTCCTCGTCTTGCATCGTGTTGGGTCTAGACCCTCCCTCAAAACCTTGCCCCTCAACTCCATGCGCCAAACTCTTCACTCGCCCACACCCTGACTCCTTACCCCGAAATCAAAACCAGTGCATAGCATATTGGGTCTGAATCCTTGATTCGCTTGATACAAAATCTTGCATGACTTTAGCAGACTAGAATGCCATGCAGCCAAAGGCATCAGGTACTTGGGGTCATGCAGCAGTTTTAGCATCAACTGTATGAAGCCTGTGCAGGCCTGATGTCTACCGAAATCCCTACACACCCATCTAGACCTTATTTACACCCACACAAACCGTATCGTTCCCAGTGGTAGGCAGATGTTGTTGGCTCTCCCTGCTCAGTGGATTCAAAGAATTCCGCCCGCCCTGACCTCTGCCAGAGAGGGTTGTGGTGCGTCTGCACCGGCTGAACTCATGCACAATCTAGAAGCGTGAGTAATGAGAAAGACAAGCCCCATGTACTGCCGTACACTTGCAGTATACCGTCCCCAAACCTTGTGCACTTTCTCATCTTGGCATATGCACTAGCCCCTTGCTTTCGGAAGTCACCATGTCGGGTCCGTCTCACACCTCACTTCAGTTTCGCAGAAAGACCATCAAACATGATGAGTACGAAGCTCAGTGAAAACGTCGGTTTTGATCTCGCAAGCCCTAAGCCCGAGACCCTGAGTCGGTAAAGGTGGGTTTTCATGTCCGCCGAGGACAATCTTTGCGTCGTTTGGCTGAAGGGTCTGGAACCCCTCACGAGATGAACGGGATGAAGCATTCTGGGATAGTTGAGAGTGTGAAGGTTTGGGTTGTAAGGTTGAAGATTTGTAGAGTAACCATCTCCGTTCATGCGTAAACCACTGGGAGCAGTCGGGTACTTTCTGGTGGATCGCAGGTCAAAACAACTTACATAAACTGGACAACATAGCATAGTCCCCATATACTATAATACTGTAATTCTTCATTTTCTTTTCCATTACTCCCTATGTATAACCGCAACGTATGATTTTTGTGCCTTGCACACACGTCTGCATGCTACATGCAACCCGTTGGAAAGCCCCAGACCCTAAAACCCAATCCCTGAGCCCAAAAAAAACTACACTGTTTTTGCGAACTTGGAAATCAGTGCTGCTAGGAGATTGCTGAGCATGGGCGTGGTGAAGGGGCCTGTCTTCTTGCGGAGCGCTATTGCACGGGGCGGGGATTCCATTTCAGGGCTTAGGCTGGGCAAGTTTTATCTGACCGCAAATGGCAAGTGCTCATTCCGGGCCTAAGAATATACAACGCTTAGCCAGTTTAATTCAAGACTGGGGGACACGCGTTTCAGGCTCGGATTTGTGGTCCGGCAGCAAGTTCTGAGCGTACATAAACAGACCGGGATGAACTCGCAGCGCAGTGGCCACAATGATGGGCTTCCCTTCTAATCGGAAGAGTACAGCACCCCAAGTCCCAAAGCGGTTGCCATGTGGCGCCGGGACCATTGATCCAGAGCCCCAAAATCAACTCCTTCAGGCTCGCATGCCCCAGACAGCCGACCCAAAGCCCAAAACCTTACTTGAAGATTCAGGGTAATTATGAGGAAGCCAACAGTAATAGTGGACAAGAGCATGGAGACCACTACATGGTTTGCGGTTTCGGGTATTGGGTAGTTGCAACCACAAGTGTACTTATTACCCAGCCAGAAGCCCCTTGAGCCCCCTAATGTCACCATAATTGGGTTGCACGCGCACTTGGGTTCCAATTACCCTGAAACTCCCAGTGCACACAAAACCTTGAAAACCTTGAACCCCAGAAGCAGTCGTAATCCAAACCTCCCTCGCAGGACTTGTCAACCTGTCAGAGGGACCGCCGTAGTGTCCATGTATGCCTCGAACTCCCCAAGGCCCCCAGTGTCCCTGAAGATAGCCCAATTGAATCAAAAGTCTTCATCCTTAAGCGCTTTATCTCATTTAAGTTTTCACAGAGCGCCACGCACTGTGTCTACATATTTATATGCCCAAAACCCCCTTCAAGGGGAACCATGGGTACTCCATTTTGAGCGACCTACCCTTGCAGGAGTACATCGAGTGCGCCTGCAGCGGCGTCATGGCGTGCTCCACATGCCATGTGTATCTGGCACTGGCCTCAGCCTACTGGCGGCTAGTAGGAAACAGGGGAATACAGGGTTATATAGGGACTATATAGGGGCAATGTAGAGAATAGGGGAATCTACTTTGCAAGGGATTATTTTCCTTCATTTCTTACTAACCACCAGTAAGTCAGGTTGTTGACGGGGTGCAGGGTTTAGGGTGTTACTTGGAAGCTCATGACTAATCGTAGGTGTGGTTAAAACTAGCCCACTAATGTTTGAACTGGCTATACATGCTGGTATCCTACTTACGTCCTAATTACGTGGAACCCTAGTTATTTTCGAACCACCCGTGATTAGCATTTCAAACCAGTTACTAAAGTCCAATACTCAGCAAGATTGCAATCTCCATTGATTATTGTATTCAATGAGAAGATTCAGTCTTACTTGGTTCATTGAAAAACATTATCCGCATGAGCTTCCAAGGAGGGTCAGCTCCCCAGTCGTAGGGTTGAAAGTTTATGTTACAGCAGGCTTGCACAAGGACCTTTTTTGCATGCCTTGCGCTGCGAATGAAGAAGCAGGGTTCACAATCACTATTTGCATGTTGCTTGTTGCCACGACTGAGTGTCTCTCACAACTTTTCTGAATTCTCTTCTTTTGGTTGTCCTTGTGCCCGTCTTCCGCAGCGCTGTTAGCATTCGCCCAGAACCGGCTGTGGGACAAGGATGGGCTCAGCTAGCCTAACGATGGGATTGTGGAGCTGGAGCCCAGGGCTCGTGTGATTAAAGGCCCTCGGCAGGATTTTGGGCAATCATGGGCTGATTGGTTTCAGAGACCCCCAAATCCTTCGACATTGATTTCAAGTGGTATACGTATATTCGACCTACAAGATAGTAGAAGCCGCGCTACATGATAGGTAATTACTGGTGAGTTGGGAAAACCAGTTTTCCAGAGTACCGCAATGTTTCTATTAGACTTCTTGCTCATAATTCTTGAGACTCGCCCCTGCGTCCCCAAATTCCTCGGCCAGGGAGGGTGTAAACCTAATCCTGTGAGGACTGCTTGCAAGAAGACATCCTGAACTTTTTCAGACACCAAGCCCTGGACCCCACAACTTGCAGCTATCCCAGGATGATGCATCCTTCAAGACGGCAGGCGGCATGTGTGTCATACATACTTTGAGACACATGGAGACGGTCTAGGCTAGGGTTCAGGCTTTAGGGCTGGTTATTAGGCCTGGAGTTTGAGATTAATATTATGAGGAGTCTTGGGGCTCCGAAGTAAGTTCATATTCAGTGGAAAAGGTCTCCGTAGCAACAAAAGGCTTCCCTCAATGATGAGGACCCCAGGCACAACAACAGCACCTTTGAGAGGCAGTAAATAGGAAGAAGGCAAGGCAGGGAAAGGCCAAGGATTCAACGAGGTAGCAGTCTCTTTCCACTACTCTTGCAGGTACCGCTACAGTAGTGTGTTGCACAAATTTTCTCGAGGGTTACAGGATGATTTTACGGGACGTTTTTTGTGCGGAAAGGCCGCACCTCCAACATGTAAACCTAGGCGTTTGGTAGGCAAATTAGAGGACTCAGTAGAAAAGATTCAAACATGCAGGAATGTGGTCGAGGAAGAGTCCAGAAACTCCGACTCCACATTTGGTCAAGAGTTGCTGTCTGCGCAAGAACATTCTTTCACACATGTGATTCACACACATATGCATCAATTAGGAGTTTGTCGCATGGTGAGGCTTTTTTGCACTCGCTTTACACACAAGAATCTGTTCAATGTGTTTTGGCCGCCGCTGAAAGAGTTTCAGCCCATTGTTTCAGGACTCTCTCTAAAACGTGTTTTGATTTGAGGCCCCTAACTGAATTCAGACCATCCCCTTTAACGTAATCCCCAAGGCCCTCAGGACCCTGGGTATTGAGGACGTCTATTTTTCATTTTCTGGTGGCTCAAATGTTAGGGGAGGTGTAGATACTGAAGTGCCGCATTGTGCAGTACAATCCCTACACCCCGAAACCCGGAGCACTGTACCCCAAACTTAAACGTTTAGCCTCCAAGCCCTCAAGCCTTGAATCCCAAACCCTAGCCCTAGAAATCCTCTGCGCCGCAGGGCCTCCAGATGAAGCGGAGCAGGCGTCGAGATGGATAGGGCTCAAGGTTGAGAGTTCCAATCTAATTTTGAGTAGATTGAATAATCAACAATATGTTCCTTCATGTGTTCGGGAATACTCGTGGTATCCCACAGTTTGTCCTGGGACCGTTTGACAGGTTTTCCAAGCACGGACCTCAGGACATGGGGTCTGCTCGCTCACCTGACCTTGAAAGAAGTTGGACAAGAATACCGCAACTGTCAAAAACCTACTCCGGCAGCCCTTGCACCCAAGGCCTTAAGTCTCCATCTCGATCTTAAGCATTTAGCTTCACACTTATTATCCTAAGATCCTCAACTAGACCAGAGCATTGGCCGCTAATATGGGCACTTAGCTATTCTGGGGGGATTCTAGAAGCCTTGGGGGCTAACTGCAGATGTAACAGTTACTTTTCTGGTGTGTCAGGACCTTGGAATGCGCATGGCATTGACCCTAGTTTTGTGTGGATCCTTCCAGCGCCAGGACATGCTGGAACTGGCCTTCGAGCCGCAGGAGATTTGCGTATCATGCGGGGTTTCCTGTGGGAGGGATCCACCTCGAAGGCTTACTGCATAGGACCCCAGATTGTGCAAGATTTCCTCCACCAACAGTAAGTGTAACTCCACACTAAAACCATGTACTACTGAACCACTGCCGCTTCTCCCTGGCTCCATTTCGCTTTACCTTGAACTTTGAACTTTTGATGGGGGACACAGTTGACCGTTGACATTCAAAGGCCTTCGCCAACCTAAGTGCCATATGGCAGGGGAACCGCAGTATTTTGCATACTAACCTCAGACAGGATTCTTAGTATCACCATGCAACATGTTAGAAGCCTTAGTAGTAAGCTAATGTTATACAAGCATGATTCGAGACACATACTTTCAAATCTTGGTACGATTGACGATATATACCTCAATGATGGGATGGTGCAAGCTCTGGGTTCTGCTCGCAGGATACTTCCCGCCTGGGCTGCCAGCTACGGCTAACGCTGCTCGCATGGCTTTAAAGTTTAAGGTTTACTTTAGGGTTTAGGGCTTAGGGTTTTGTTCAGGGTTTCGGGTTTAGGGGACAATTATGTGGAAATATGAAAAATCGTCAACATTCTGGTCCGAGATTGCCTGTGCAGTTACGATATATGGTATCTCAAATAAAACCCAACGCAATATTTGTGATTAGTCAAGGCCAGGTAGCTGTGAGAGTGTTAGAGATTTGGCTGCAAGCTTACGCGGTCTTCTGCTTCGTCTTCAGTACGATTGTTGTGAAACCAAGCTGTCAGCGATTTCTAGATTGTAGATACAGTCTGATCTTGGGACGTGAGGCTTACAGGCCACTAAACTGACTCCAGAACCCCTAAAGCCCTCAAACACATAAACCCTAAAGCCCTGAATCTGACACCCTGGAACCCTAAACCTTAGCTCAAGGAATCTGGAAGCTGAGGCCGGCCCTTGAGGGCATGACCGTGCGCATTCCCGGGGGTGCCAACAACATGCATCTGGGCAGCCCAAGGTTCAGACTTCAGGGTTGAGGATCTGGGGTTCAGGAGTCTTTGAAAGGGGTTATATGGGGATTATATAGGGGTTATATAGGGATCATGGAAAAGAAAATATACACTTCTATAATGTACTGGGGTATTTTGGGATGATGGAAGAAAATACATACACCGCCCCATGGCGTGGGATTTCTCAAATCGGTGGCCCCCTTTACAAGGACAGTTGGTTCCATGTCAGTCAAGCCTTTTCTGGCTAGTAACACATGTGTATCTTATGAAGCTCCACCCGCAGTCCACGCATGGATGCTCTGTGGAACTCGCCATAGTCCCCAAATCCTGAACTGTCTTTTTCGATTTTTGTGTGGTGAGAATCACAGGTTTTCAGAATCTGGAACCTCAGGCCAACCTACAGCCTAGACCTAAACCCTAAAACCACAACTCCCCAAAACCCCATACTCCAAGCTCTAATCTCCAACCCTATGAACCCTAAATGCCAAGCCCGGGGCCCCAATCCTAGAAACCCTAGGTCCCCTAAATCCTAAACCCGAACCCGAAGCCCTAGAGCCCAGGTTTGATTTCATCCCCTTCGAATGAGCCGTGAGAGAGGCATACCTTTTTCATCTTTGAGCAGGGGTTAAACCCCTGCCCCTCGGACATGGTCGCCGGTCTAGGCCTTTTGGAGTTGCTCAAGATTTAACCTGCAGAATACAAAACCGCAACAGCACTGCCCCCATCCCAATAAATTCTTTCGGCTAAGAGAACACATGTGTACGTTTGGAGTTGGGGCCCTTTCGATTTGATTAAGTGGTACTTGTCAGCATGATCACCCAAATATGAATGTTGAGCCGCATCCTTCTACAGTTCCTGTACTGCTGAGGAGTGAAACACCTGCTTTGGGATGTAAGGTTGAGAGTATGAGATTTACTTTTTAGGGCGTAGGGCAGATCAAAGTTTAGCGGTTGAGGTTCAAGGTTTGCATTGTGCGGCAGCATGGAGGGGTGCGACTTGCCAAGTCTAAGTTGTTTGCGTTAGACCTGCTACCGTGTCGACCACAATTTCTTGCCCTCTCTTTTACATGTACAAAATCATTGGATTGCCTGCTTTCATCTTGCCAACCGGAAAGCGTGCTCAGCATGTTGCTGTTAGCCGACATAGTTCTCAGACTTCCCTCCAAAACCAGCACCTCCCTACTACCTTGCAATCAGCCCGCCAAGCTTAACTCAGGGACTCCTTTCTTCCTTTGCGGGGGGTGTAGGGTTGAAGATATATGGGGACCAGAGTGTTGTGCCTGTGTATGTCTGAGGGGCCGTCTGCGTTGTGAACATTCTTGAAGGCTCGTAACATGGCGTGAATTTGGTTTCCTGAAGGAACGGATTTGCGGCTTTACGGATCATGTTGCAGGAGCTGGTTTTCTGTTACACGTGTGCTGCAAGGCCACCTTAAATTTTCCTCATGTGCTTCGCAGCATTTTGCTTATGTTCAGTAGGTAGGGCGCAGCCGGGTTTTGATCACCTCACTTGCGACCATCTTCATAGCATTTTGAGAGGCTTTACATGCTTCGCGATCACGTAGGCCTGAGCTCGTACTTGCCCGCCATTAGAAACATGGCGCGCTCGTCGCCCCTGCTGTTGATTTGCATCGCGGCGGTTGGCCCGTTGGCTGCAAGCGAGGGTGGTTCTAGGGTTGAAGGAAATTTTGGTAGTGCTGGGCTGCCACGCAAACTCGTTCTGGATCAGATCTGTTTATCTTGGCCGCTAGCCTAGCTTTGTTCTTCGGCCACACACCATGGTACTGTGTCATGCTGAGTATGGCATTCCATACACAGCGACACTAGGCTATACTGATTCAACACATTGTACTGCTGTACCATAAGGGGTTTTGTTGCATGCTACATTCAAGAGAGCTCTTGATATCGGAGCCCCAAAGAAAGCCCACAATCTTGGCACACCTCCCAAAGATTGGATTTTGTGTGACAGGACTACCCGAATTATTATCCAAAGTTGCGCCGTTAAAAGAAGAGGCGAGTCAATTAACGGACAAAGTTTGTCCGACTCTTTGAATTCACTTGAATACTATGGGGCTGTGTTGTACCTTTTTGTCTCACCTTCTGCCTCAAACCCAAAATCTTCACCCCCAATTCTTCAACCACAAGCCCACAATCCCAAATCCGAAGCCCCGGCCCCCTTAGACCCTAGACACCACTGATTAGATGATATAGTAGATTCCATTTCATGTGCCAGTTTTGTTTCTAAATGACTCCCCATTCAAAAATCAGTTGGCATATAGGTGCCCTCTTGCCCTCCGCCTTTCTGCTGCCAAGCGCACACCCCGCCGAACCCAGGCGTGCTTGCCTGTTTCCCAGGGAGATCAAGAATCATTTTGTAAGGAATACAGCTGAAATCATTTCAGGTAGCATCTTGTAGGGAACATGTCCTAATCAAGGGTGCATGCGGTCCGTTGGGTTGCTGCTCTGCTTTTGTTGTTGTTGCTGCTGCTGCTGCTGTACTAGTAGTCGTCGAGGTAGTTGCAGCACTAGGAGGAGCTGCTGCTGCTGCTGCTGCTGCTGCTGCTCTTTGGTTTAGATTTGTTCCTTCAGTCCTGGGGCTTGAAGGCACAGAGTCACAGAGTTGTTAAAATCTTTAGGCAGAGGGGTGGGGCTCGTCGGCATTGATCAGCATAGGGGGTGCGGCCGCAGCAGGCCTTAGGACCAAGGCTCGAGAAGGCCGATCTCTGGGACTTCGCTTTGTCAGTTGCAAGCGAATGACCCAACAGAAATCTCCCTTCTCTCGAGATCTACAGCAGATGATGGCCGCCCCCAAATCATGCTCCCCTAAAACCCCCTGATGATGCTCACTTCCCCTGCTGGTCTAATATTGGGAATGTGGGGCTCATTCTTAGGGAGGGGAGTACGTGATTCTTTCGCCAGACCCAGAAGTGAAGTTGATTCCTGCCCGGTGGCATGCAGCGGCGGGCCTGAAAGCTCCACTCACCAGATTCTCAAAAGGCCTTAAGCTTTGAACCCTAAACCCAATCATATCCTGAACCTTGAGCCCCAGCCCCCAAAGCCTAAGCCTTGTAAGTCCTAAACCTATATGCTGGACCCTCTTTAATAAGTAGGGGTCCCCCCCCACATTAGGGCCCTCCGAAAAATAGAAATTAGGGATCCTCAATACGGCCCCCTGAGCGCCCACGGTTCTGAGGTCCCTGTAGATTGATTTAAAAAGGATGAGAATCCTTCCTACATTTTTAGGCCCCCAAAATCGAAACTCATTATAGGGGACTTTCCAATAATTGCCCTGATCCTGAATAGGCGGGCCCCTAAACTCATTATAGCCGGCCCAACATTACGCACCCTACGCCCAAAACCACAAGTTTGGTGTCTTGAGATGAGCTATAGTCTAAACTCCTTAAATGGGGTATATATATATATATATAGGGGATTATATAGGGGACTATTATAGGGGTTATTAAGGGGATACTAGGAGTTTAGACAAGGGCTCAGATGCCGCGAGGTCTGCTCCCGAGGCAGCACCAGTCGTTGGAGGCTGGGGCATTCGGGAACTTAGCGATTCTGGAAAAGGAGTGCTGGAGGTTCTATTGTGGGTTTGTGGGCTGGATAAACTTCTTTCATCTTCAAGGGGGCTTTACGAGGTTTCATGTGAGTTTGGAGGAACCCCAAATTCACTTCTTAGGTGTAGTACCAACCTGAGGAATAAGTAGAATGTAGATACAGACAAGTACATTATGAACTCCCTGGACCTCCAAAGCCCACGATATAATTACCTCCAACCCACCAAGTCCTTATTTAGCAATATCCAAAATGGACCTGGGGCATTTATGGGTTCGGAGCCCTAAACTCGAAAGCATAAAGCAAATAGGAAGCGATTTAGCTTTATGGCTCCAAGTCAAGGGCTCGGCTATGACAGACCTTGGGCTCATGACTCTACTGCACCTTGCGCTGCTTTCAGTGAACCCTCAGGTTCACGGTTTGGGGTTCAAAGCTTGTTGGTTTAGGTGTTTAGGTGTCTCAAGTGTTTAGGTTTCGTGTTTAGGGCGAGGCAGATGCTGGCTGCCTAGACCAGCTTTCATTCAGAATCCCGAAGTCGCCCCGTCTTTTAACCTAAATTCCCAAGGGTACCCTTTTTTGATGAACGCTCATCTTTCCAGAGGCCTACTACACTGGCCCAAACGTGACCTACTCGGGAACTGCCTGGTTCAAGGTTAAGGGTATCCTTTTCAAGGGCTTCATCGGGATTAAATAGTGGTATACTCAGAATCTTAAGCCCTCAGCCCCTAAAGCCATCATCCCCTAAACCCCTACACCCTTTTCCCCAAAAGCCTACATCAACTAGAGCATTATATTCCTATGTCCTTACACCCTTATCCACTAGTTCCCAGGTACCCCGCAGACGGCGGAGGCACCAGACTACGTGCAGCCTGTGGCCGCGACAGGCCTTCTCAACGTTAAGGGTCCTTTTGAGGCAGCTCTGTAGACGATACAGAGATGACATAAAGCATGGTCGTTGTTGAACACGGCTCAGCGTATCATCTGCAAGCCAATGGGGAATGTCAAAATCAAGTTCTCAATAATATCCCAATAAGGAAGTAGACAAGGCGATCTATAGGGATGTGTGTGGGGATTTATTGTAGCTTCGGGTTCTCAAGGCCATAGATCGGTAAGTCCTGCGCCGCGGTTTCGATAAGCTTGCAAAGAGATGCTCATTGCAAGAATGATGTGACAAAGTGTAATTCAATAGTTCTCTTCCTGAGGAAAACTTGCCCCACATACTTGTAGGGCCTTTGAGCTACTGCAATACTCAGATTGGGAATGTAGGGCCCTGAAACTCAATTTTTCAGTTACTACAATCTACAGCACCATGAGCTCTCAGCTCTACACAGTAAGCCCAAAGCTCTCAACTCTTAACCCAAACGTGAAGCCCAAACCCTAAGCCCTAAGCCTTAAACTCCAAACTTCAAGCCCACAGCTCTCAACCGATGCAGGTTTGGCTCTTTTCCTGGGGTTAGTACTTGGTCTGCAGAGCACCCCGGCTTATGCCGATGCCATCGATGCCGGGGGCCCGGAATTCAGGTTTGAATATGAAGGTTGAGGATGGAAAAGGGCAAAGAAACAGCCCATCATTTTGAGCTTTAGGGTTTAGGGATTGGGGCTTGAAGTGGAGGATGAAGAATCAAGTGGAGTCTCAAACAGAAGATGGAACGGAATTGTCTAGGGAGTTATGGAGCTTCTGGGGATGCATGCACGAACGTTTGTTATCTTCGCAGTAGGAAGGGTAAAACATGTGGAAAATAGAGTGTAAACTCCTAAGCCCAAAACCCTACTTTGAACTAGCCACAAACCCCCAAGTAGGGTTGCTGGCTAATTTAGAGCGGGCTCCATATGTGCCTCCAGAGCCCTACAAGGGTTTTTATTCCCTCGAACCATCATGGAACCCCAACAGCGGCCCTATAAAGACTATTGTCCTGTTCTAAAGGAGGACTTTTTCGGACTCCATGTGAGCCTTGCGGTGGTCTAGGCAACTTGCCTGGTTCATGGGAGTTCCCCCTCAGCTGGGCTTCTCCTATGAACTTTAACTCTACCCTAGTGAGGGCTAAGACTGTCCTTAACCCGTCTGGAGTCTGGGTCATTGTTGCACATGAGCTTTAGTTTCTATTCGATCAAAAGCACGAAGAAGAACATGACATTAAGTCTACAGTGTTCACTATGAACTGTAAACCCCCAACTCCTGAACCCAAAAGGGAGATCTTTGCAGCGGGGCGCAGGAATAAAGTGTTTGCATGAGGACATGAACCTGGACTCAAGATACTATCTATGGCAAATACACGGTTTGTTTGTAATCGGGACCGGGATTTAATTTATCTTCATTATAATCATTCACTGCAAACCAGGAGCCAGGTAGAAAGCATTCATCTTGTGGGTATACATATGCATGCCTTTTTTGACTAGCCTGGCCATATAGGTTTGTATGAGAGTGTCAGGGACGCGCTTCAAATTCAGTCACTTCATACAGCTCCCTCAGGGCTGACAATATACATACCGCTAAGAAGACTTTGTGCTACGCCTACCCCATTCTTCAACATGGCTTCTTTCATAAGAGTACCATGGACTTGCACTGCCCCGAACTAAATAGGCCTAATCAGTTAAAAGATAAGTTAATCCGTTAAGATTTGCGGAGAATACCCCGCAATCCTGAATGATGTTTCAACTTGTGGGGGCCCCGTGCAGTCGGGGGGAGCCACAGTGACCCCATGATTCTCGCGGCCTGGTTTCAGGGGACATCTTCCTAAGCTTCCTCGCCTGTTCTTCTGGCAGATAGGCTGTTGCAAGTTCAGCTGGTGTCTCGCAGCGTGTAGCATTAGTGAAGGCTCCAGGAGATTGAGTGGCGTCATGTTTCAGAAGCTCAGGAAGGCGGCTGTAACAACCCCCGAAAATGGTTATGCTGCATGATGTTGCTAAAGCTAAAGGCTTTGCAAACCCGTTGAAGGGTTCTCGACGTTGAGGATTCCTGGGATTACTAGGCTTGGGGCAGTACTTACAGATGCTTTCATTAGAGGCGTAGCCCCAGGGTCCGTGCAAGGCTCTGTTGCTACAGAGACTGGCATTCCTCCAAATTCATATGCCTACATCGACTACTCCGCTCCCGTTAAGGCCGCTAATAAACCTTCAAACCGAAACCACGTGGGGAAGGGCATGGCAGGCAAACTTGAAGCTTAGTTGGAGAATAACAACGCGAGCTGTCTTGTTTCATGAGTCGTCTCCATGGGTCTGGGCCAGGGCTTATGGGGTTTCAGTGTTTGGGGGTACAGAGTTTAAGTTTTGAGCCTTTTTCTCTCTTGTTCTTTCTCTCGCTCGCTGCTTCCGGGTCTCTTCTTCACTCTCCCACGTCTCTTTCTTTCGTTTGAATAAGTCGCTTGACCGCACGCTACACTTCTGCTCTTCTTCTCGTCTCCTTAGTCCGCGTAGGCATAGCAAGACTGGTTGCTGACATTCGCCATTATGAGCAGCTGTCTTCTTTCAAGCGCAGCTGATGCCTGTTCAACCCTCAATAAGTGTCCCTATAACCCAATCCCCCATGTCCTACTATGCACCAGGGAGTAGTTTGTGACGCATTCCAAGTCAGCGCTATTGCAGCCATGAGCAACTGCAACAGCAGCTCTGACGACAAGCTGAAGCCCGAGCAAGAAGACTGGGAAGACGTCGTCTTGGAGTTCGCTTCTGGGGGCTCCAGGTGCATGTTTCGGCATTTGGGTTTTGGAGGATGAACGACCGTGTTGAGGGCGTATCGTTTTGTCAAATTGTGCGCTTCAAATTCACACCCCGCTGGCATGTGAATTTAAGAGTTGCGCACAGAAAGATTCTACTCCAAATAGCATTTTTTCCACAAGATTGCTGGCCCTGCCACGACCCGGCTTCTCCTCTCATCAGAGATGAGCGTGGTGCTCCTGGAAGTTAGTCTAGGCGCTTGATCACCTCGATTCTGGCTCGGGCATGGATGCTCTGAGGTGATCGGATACATTACTTATTTAGGATTGGGCGTGTGTACTTTGGTGAACGAACTTTCTGGGAGATAGGCGTTATGATGGTATGGGCATAGGTGCTCCTGGGCGCATGGACGATACATCCTCCTTACCCCCTGCCGTCTATCCCTACCCTTGATACTCTACCTTCCCTTAACCTGCAAGACGCTGCCTTGCTCTACCCTACTCTACATTCTACCCTCCCCTTCCTCTACCTTCTACCCTTAACCCTCCCTCCACCCTACCTCTACCCTGTCTACCCTCTCTATCCTCTCTACCCCCTTCCCCATACCTGCTACCCTCTACCCTCTACTTTCTGAATCTCGAAATGTCTACTGTCCGCGAATTTTTGAATGGATTTAGCCCACTTTGGCTAACGCGCGGCAGACGGTAACAACATCTAAGCCCAAAGCCTCATGATTTGTAGGGGTTTCCCAGGTACATGATGGTACAGTGAGCTCGCACAAAAAGGTCGTTTATACACTGCTCCTACAACTTTGATTTTTCAAGCTCTGGCACTATTGTAATTCAGCCAGAGTTTCGCAAAGCCCTACACCCCCCCAAAGTCAACTGCAAACTCCTAAGCCCTCAACCCTGCATCCCCAACCCCCAAAACCTTAAATCTGCAGCCCTAAAACCCCTAAAGCTCTAAGCTCTAAAGACTCAAACTGTCAACCCCCAACACGTGAAACCGTATGCCATATGTCCCTAATCCTAAACCCCAAAGCTGGGAAAAGAGCCAGGCCGGCTTGCTCCAGTCTCCTCCGAATGTGCTCGCCAGTATTCAATCGGATGTTTGCCTCAGGTTTCTGCGTTGGCAATTCATGGCTTTGGGTTTTCAGTTTAGGGATTACAGTTGAAGGGTTAGAGTTGAGGCACTTAATTTGCAGTCCAGAGTATAGTGCTTTTGATTAGGGTGTAGGGTTTTGAGTTCAGGGTTTAGAAGCCACCGGTCAGGACGAAGATTCGGGATCTTGAATTCCGGGTCTGGCTGAGGTATGTGGGGTTCTAGGTGATCTGATATGGCGGTCATGGTAGTAGCAGTCCAATGCGGAGCCGAGGTGGGAGTAGCAAAAAGGTGAAGGAGTGGGAGATAGGTAGGAACACCAGCAGGAGGAGTAGGAGTAAAAGTCGGGTGGGAGCATGTTGACTCTAAACATGTGTTTACGTCTACTCTGATGGTGCGCGGGCCAAGAAAAAGTCCGTACTGCATTTGTTGTCTGTGTTTGTCGCTCGACGCTGTGAACCATAGAGTAGGAGTAGTGATAGGAGTGGTAGTAGCAGCAATAGGAGTAAATATAAACCCTGTGACAAAACTCGTCCAAATGTCAAAGTTTACAACGTCTTGCAAGCAGCCTTAAACCTTAAACCCTAAGCCCCAAACCCTAAATCCACTCAGGTATGAGGGAGGCACAGTCGGGGACGGTGCAGGTTGAAGTTGCGACAAAGGAGGGCTTGACGAAAGAAGTCCGGCAAGAGGGTACAGGGTGTTGAGTACAGGGTTTTGGGCAAGTTTAAGTTTGAGGGTTCAGTAGGTACAGCAGTTTGATGGCCTGGGACTCTAGGGAGCTACAGCCAGCAACTTTAGGGACTTCAAGTGTCGCCCATCGACAGGAAGAGTTTGAGGTCTTCTACAACCTGCTGATCCCTGGTGCATTCCGCCCGAAAAAGGTGACAGAGGACAACGTGGACTCACTCCTGACCATTAGCGAATACTACCAAGTGGGTTTCCTGAAGGATCGGCGGGCTTAGTTCAGCGGGAAACCTGGTGTTTCCCGCAATACCCATCCTAGAGTCCTTGTTTGGCTGCAGTTCCCATATCGCGCTAGGTTCTCCGAGGTGCCTGTTGTTTTGAGAAATAACCTCAGGAAAGTTTGTGTTGTTCGTTGGACTTCCGCAGCCAGACTTGGATCGTGTCTGGCGGTTTAGGGTTCGGGGGGTGTGCGGTTTGCCAGTCAGTGCTGAGCCTTAAAATAATCCAAGATTCCAAGCCCTGGACCCCAAAACCGCTTCGGCCCTTCAGGGGTTTACAGTCATCCTTTAGCGGATGAAGTCGAAATAGTAGGAAACCTGCAAAATGTCCCCCGGGTTTAGGCTTTGGGGTTTAAGGTCTGGTGCTGCAGATGTGGGTGATTTAGTCGAAGCCCAGGCAACTCCCTAGATCCCATCGTTTTGTCATGTTCGATTTGCGGCCACATTGCACGATTTAAGGATGCCCAGGCATTGAAGCACCCTGATGACAGCGACGTTCGTGTAGTTCTTGTGCTTGTCATGTACCATATTTAGGGCCTGGCGGCAGGTGCCGGCTTGGCTGCTGCTCGGCTTGCCTACCCAGCTATCAAGTGAAAGCCAAGCCTACCCCAGCCCTGCTGACACTCCTGATTGAGAGAAGTGCACGAAAAAGTCATATCCTTGTTACCTTGTTTTCTTTTAGGTTTTGAAGACACTGTTCTCTCTAGTTTAACTGAAAGTGGCCAAAAGTGGGGTCCCAATTGTGCTGATGATGTTCCTGTGCAATTGTGCTGATGATGTTCCTGTACGAGGCGCGCGCGCGCGCCTCGTACAGGAACATCAGCTGCACAATTGGGACCCCCTTTTGGCTTGATTGGGACCAGGAGGGGCCAAAAACTCAGGAAAGCCATCAATGATGACTTTAGACATGGTTCTCTGTGCAGGCTGACCATGTTCTAGCCCACGATTGCATTTTTTTTGGCAAATCAGCTGCCAATAGCAGCTTCAATTCACGCATTGGACAAGCTTCGGAGCCACAAGAGTGCTGGAAATATGTGCAAAACACACCACAAAACCATGCAACGTGCACATTCTATAGGGTTTGGCCTGAGCAATGCACGCCAAACCTGTCTCATGCTTGCCCAGTGGGCACAGGCACAGGACCCTAATGATGCTCATGATGCTGGCCAAGGGGGCGCCAGCATCATCAGCATCATTGGGGGTCCGTTTCTCCATTGTTGGCCTCCCATGTGCCCAATGACCCCTCATTAGTGCTAGTCGTTTCTCAGCCGTACCCCAAGAGAGGCCTTGGGGCTAGTTTTCAAAACGGCCCGTGCTCATGATTTTAGGGGGTTCTTGGCGACCCCTAAAATCCTTCAAAAATCCCTCCGTGCCATGTGGATTCGCTGTTGGAGCGCGTGTGAATTTTGGAGCGGTCGTGGGATAGGGTCCGGGAGGGGCCCGGGGAGAAACGGAGGTCCGATGATGCACCGGAAAAAAAGTCGGCGCCACCCCATAGAGAAAAACCTCCAGACACGGGCTCCGCCCTGGCGCCAACTTGTTCCCTCCGTGCATCATCGGACCTCTGTTTCTCCCAGGGGCCCTCCCGCACCCCACTCCAAAACTACTTCAAAAGGGCCCCTCCCGCACCCCACTCCAAAACTACTTCGAAAGTCACATGCGTTCCAAAAGCGAATCCCCACGGAACGGAAGAATTTTTCAAGGATTTTTGGTGTCCCCCAAACCATTTTTCGGGAACCCCCAATAATCCCAGCAAGTATCCCCAACCGCAGAGAGGACATGTCATGTTCATTATCACTGAGGGCGCACGCGAAGGCTTTTTTTTGTTTTGGAAGGGGGGGGGCGCAATTACTATTTCCGCCAGTAAGTACTAGTCCTACTACGACCACGACCCCGACTACTACCACTACTACTGCTACTACTACTACTACTACTAGTACTACTACTACTACCACTACTACTATCAC